TAGTTGACAGGCCTTCTGAAAGCATCTTCTCTCTCGGGGACAAATCCCTTCCCACTTACTGTAAATCACACTGACTGAGGTCACTGAGAAGTCAGTCTTCACAAGTGTGGTGTAGCTGTGTGCAACAGACACTGGAATCCTGATTGTACAAGATTTGGAAGCCATGGGAATATGGGAAAGCTCCATATTGTAGACACTGTATTGTACTCTTAAAAAGCAAGCGTTCATGGCCTCACCAACTTGGTGACTTGATGAGATGAAAATTTCTCTCTCCCACCCTCTCTCCCTCCCTCTCTTGTCTCTCTCTCTTCTCTCTCTTTCCTTTCTCTTTCTCTCTTCTCTCCTCTCTCTCTCCTCTCTCTCCTTTCTCTCCTCTCTCTCCTCTTTCTCTCTTCTGTGTCTTCTCTCTCCCCTCTCTTCTCTCTCTTCCCTCTCTCTCCTCTCTCTTTCTCTCTTCTCTCTCTCTTCTCTCCTCTCTTCTCTCTCTCCTCTCTTTCTCTCTCTCCTTTCTCTTCTCTATCCATTCTCTCTCTCTTCTCTCTCTCCCTTCTCTCTCCCCTCTCTCTCTTTTCTCTCTCTCTCTCTCTGCTCTGTCTTCTCTGTCTTCTCTCTCTCTTTTTCTCCCTTTTCTCTCTCTTCTCCCCCCGTCTGTCTCTTTCTCTCTCTCTTTCTATAATATACAACATTCAATTCATCTAAGCATAGCAAATTCTAATTTTTTATATTGGAAGAAGGTAGTGGAAATCAAATCCAGATTGGTGCTGAAGGGGTTCATGAAGTTCGTGACCTAACCAACACTTCAGCTGAGCTTCAAGGAGACTTTACTCTCATCTCCTCATATTAGATGCTGTGACTCAACCCTTGCCAGGCACTCAGTAGTTTTGAAATTCGGTCCCAAGAACTCTGGCTGAAGCTATGAAAAACTCCTTTCTGAAAACATGAAAAGCTGCTTACAGTAACATAGACAGGACTAGCCTAAAGGGACCGGTGACCTGAATAGATATAAAACAGGTATTTCTCTTCCTCCAAGGTCTTGCCACCTTCCTGGAAAACCTGTGCTATTAGTGCTTTTTGTCCCAGGGATTTTGAGTGGGTAAATGAAACTGATTAGAACATAGTTGTCCAAAGATGCTTTTTTTCAAGAGTCAACTAGACTTTCTGGTTTTTCTTTGAAGAGGTTTCGTTTCTCATCCAAGAAGCTTCCTCAGCTTCTCTCAGAAGCTTCTTCTCCTCTCTCAGAGCTGAAGTCCAGTTGCCTCTTGAGAAAAGCACCTTTGGGACAAGCATGACCTGGATGGCTGAGAATCTCCATAGATATTTGCTTAATTCCACGGGCAAAACATGTTGAGCCTTCAACCTTAAAGGTGAAGGGCAGGAAATGCTGTTTTGGATTAACTGAGGATCTTTTAATTTATGTATTTAGAGGGGTAGGGACTAAACAGCCTTCTTCCTTTCTTCCCAGCAAATGTTTCTATTGCGAGCCCATTTGCCATCTCTGCGTCCTTCTGCTCTAACATATTTCATTGGAGTTATTGATTTCCATAGCTACATTAGCTTGCCGTTCTTGAGCTCAATTTCAGTTCATTATCTTTGGGCTCGTGGCTCTCGCTTGCTTCCGCCCTACATGGATGCAGTTTGCTTTTAAATCCAGAGAACTGAGGGGCAATTTGGACTTTTTATTTCAAGGGAGGCTCTGAGCAATTTGAAAAGCCTGGGGAATTGTCTAAATGATTTTGAGAAATATGGATTTCATCTAATGGATGTGGCTTGCATCAGCCTCGATTCGATTTAGTTCCTTTATATATATATATATATATATAAAACTGCTTGGTGAATTGTCTTGTTATAGGGAAGTTGTTGGTAATTTGCCGGACGTGAGTACAGTCCAAACGGTTCTTATTTGCAACTTTGAAAAGTTAGGGTTTATGGAGAAGGAATTGAGTCATCATAAGCGGCATGAATTTTCAGTTGGGCAACGTGTTCCATTAAACATTGCAAATGCAGGAAAACTGGCGTGAAGCAGTACGGCAATGAAAATGTGGGGTCCTTGGTACTCTCTGAGCTTGAGGGTTTTCTTAGAGACGTTTCATGACCCAAAGTAGGTAACATCATCAGAGCTAGAAGTGAGAGGGGTTTGTGGAGAGGAGGAAGAAGAAGAGGAAGGGGAAAAGGAGGAGGAGGAGGAGGAGGAGACTGTGTGGTCCTTGGGGCTCTTTGAGGTTGGTTGTTTTCTTGCAGATGTTTCATTACCCAACTAAGTAACATCATCAGTGTGAGGAGGAGGAAGAGGGGGACTGTGGGGTCCTTGGTGTTCTCTAAGCTTGGTGGCTTTCTTGCAGATGTTTCATGACCCCAAACTAGGTAAATCATCAGTGCTAGAAGTGAGAGGGGTTTGTGGAGAGGAGGAGGAAGAAGAGGAAGGGGGAAAGGAGGAGGAGGAGGAGGAGGAGGAGGAGGAGGAGGAGGAGGAGGAGGAGGAGAAGAGGACTGTAGGGTCCTTGAGGTCCTCAGAGAGCACCAAGGACCTCACCGGTCAACCTTGAGCTACAAATATCCTCTTCTATCCCAAACTGATAAAAACAAGGTTGACTTGCAATGATAGAAAGCTTTGAAGACGTCTAACAAGTAGCACGGGTGTAAACTAGATTTAGCTGTGTTAAGCTGTGTTTTTCTTATCACATACCTTCCTTCCTTCCTTCCTTTCTTTCTTTCTTTCTTTCTTTCTTTCTTTCTTTCTTTCTTTCTTTTTCTTTCTTTCTTTCTTTCTTTCTTTCTTTCTTTCTTTTTGAGGGGGGCTTAAAACTCCTTATTCATTCCCAGCATTTTACATCGCATCATCTATCCCAAAAGAGAACAGTAGATGTTTAATCTGAGCAACCATGTCAGTGGCCAGGAAATCCTGTAGGATCTGGCTGAATAAATAAACAAATAGAACATGATGGGCCTCTATGTATACATATGAAAGGATGCCTTCCTTTGAGAATTCAGGCTGATATGCATATCTCTGTTTCATTTTAGCATGATCAGCAGGAAACCCTATCTGGGTTTTATCCTTTCCTGGAGAATGAGGTAACTAAAATCCCGTGTCTACTTTCCAAACAATTGGTCCTTGCTGCTTTTACTGAAACTGCTGAAGTTTTAAGACCGGATACATTAAGAGAAACTAGCAAAGAAATGAATTGAGCAAATGGCTTTCTGCAAACGACTAAAAAGGGAACACGAATGCAGCACAGACCACTGGTGCAAAAGATGGATATTCCTTATAATGCAAACCTTGTGAACGGATGCTGTTCTTCAAGGATTATCTCCTGGGCCTTTAAAACAACGAAACAATTAATTTGCAGTCTGCATCCTGTACATATCTTTCTTTCTTTCTTTCTTTCTTTCTTTCTTTCTTTCTTTCTTTTTGAGGGGGGGCTTAAAACTCCTTATTCATTCCCAGCATTTTACATCGCATCATCTATCCCAAAAGAGAACAGTAGATGTTTAATCTGAGCAACCTTGTCAGTGGCCAGGAAATCCTGTAGGATCTGGCTGAATAAATAAACAAATAGAACATGATGGGCCTCTATGTATACATATGAAAGGATGCCTTCCTTTGAGAATTCAGGCTGATATGCATATCTCTGTTTCATTTTAGCATGATCAGCAGGAAACCCTATCTGGGTTTTATCCTTTCCTGGAGAATGAGGTAACTAAAATCCCGTGTCTACTTTCCAAACAATTGGTCCTTGCTGCTTTTACTGAAACTACTGAAGTTTTAAGACCGGATACATTAAGAGAAACTAGCAAAGAAATGAATTGAGCAAATGGCTTTCTGCAAACGACTAAAAAGGGAACACGAATGCAGCACAGACCACTGGTGCAAAAGATGGATATTCCTTATAATGCAAACCTTGTGAACGGATGCTGTCCTTCAAGGATTATCTCCTGGGCCTTTAAAACAACGAAACAATTAATTTGCAGTCTGCATCCTGTACATAATAGTACTTTTTAAAAAAAAAAAATCATCACGGCTCTCTCCCTCCATCTCTCGTCCTTTTTTAAAAAAAATTAAAAATGAGATGGATGGAAAGGATTAACCCACCAATATCCATGGATTTTTCACATCACCGTAAGCTGCATTTTTAAGTGGGGCACTTAGCTGGGGCTCAACCCATTGTGAAAAGTGTGTTCGGGCTGCAAAATTTCCCTACTAAATGCCAGCTGATTTTCAGGCCTTCTGGGCCCACCGGAAGTAGGGAAACAGGCTGTTTCTAGCCTCCGGAGGGCCTCTGGGGACTGGGGAAGGCCGTTTTCACCCTCCCCAGGCTCCTAGAAAGGCTCTGGAGCCTGGGGAGAGCAAAAAACTGGCCTCCCCCCCCACGAGGCCCTATGGAGAACAGAAAGTCTTAACTTTCTGGGGCCATCTAGTGATTGTCCTCACTTTTGTTTCCTAGGTCTGGAAAGCGTAAAGTTACTATATTCTGAGGATCCCCAAAGTGACAGACAGATGGAAAGATAAGATCATCTTGCCACCAGATTTAATACAGCAGAAACTTGAAAGCTGGGACAAAATCAGTCTAGCATCCCAGATTTCATGTGCTGAGGTGAAGCTCTCGCCTCACAATCAGGAGGCTGTGAGTTCGATCCTGGGTAGAGGCAGATATTTCTCTCTCTGGGCACAATGAAAATATATCCGTTGAAATAAAACTCCGCATTGGCAACAGGAAGGGCATTCTGGGAGTTGAAGTCCACAAGTCTTAAAGCTGCCAAGTTTGAAGACCTCTGGTCTAGGGTGTTTTGTAACGATTTACTCCATTTTTTATACCATGTGAAAACTGGAATAAGAACAATAACAACCAAAACTCTTTCTAAGGAGAGGGGGAAAAAACATTGAAAAGTTTGCAGAGATGTCTAATCTCCTCTTAGACAATTTATGTGGTATTTTGCACAGGAATTGCAAATAAGAATAAGAATAAGAATAAGAATAAGAATAAGAATAAGAATAAGAATAAGAATAAGAATAAGAATATAATAATAAGAATAATAAGAAAAAAGTATGGTTCATTGACATTGCAATACCTGGTGATGCACGGATTGAAGATAAGCAGCAGTTATTCCTATCCTAGAACTCCGTTTTCACATTCTTCTAATGATTATAGAGGTGGTTGTACAGATGTGGCAAAGTTATCCCCACCTGGTGGTTAAAAAGTATATAATATTTCTCAAACTGTCCAGGAGATGGAAAACAATGCAGTATATTACTCTAAGCTTACTCCAGATGGGACCTTTCGAAATAAAACTTTGAGAAACTTAGGGTCATCTAAGTCTCTTTTTCCGAATATGTTGATGGAGATTCACAGTCATCCAAGTCACGGTTGTCCCAAATTGTGGGTTTTTCAAGAGGCAACTGGACTGTCTCGGAAGACTATTCTCTGCTCTGCTGAAGAAGCTTCTTGGATGAGAAGAGAAACTTCTTCAAAGAAGGTCCAGCTGTCTCTTGAAAAAGCACCTTTGGGTCTCTTTTTCTTAGCACTACTTAAATGCACACACACATTTAGACTGCATGAATACACCTTGGTTCCCGTTTGTCCATGGTAGTCAAAGACAGTCCGATACTGATCCAATTCTCTGAATTTTATGGCTTGAGTCCTGCAGAGCTCTCTCTCCCTGGGACCACCTTTGGTGGGAAGGTAACAGCATTCTGTGCACCCTTGGTGTTTAGTTATGCCGGCCACATGACCACGGAGACGTCTTCGGACAGCGCTGGCTCTTCGTCTTTGAAACAGAGATGAGCACCGCCCCCTAGAATCAGGAACGACTAGCACATATGTGCAAGGGGAACCTTTCCTTTTACCTTTAGGTGAAGTCAACCTATTCTCCAAAGCACCTGAAGGCAGGACAAGAAACAACGGATGGAAACGAATCAAAGAGAAAAGCAACCTAGAACTAAGGAGAAATTTGTTGACGCTGAGAACAATTAATCAGTTGGAACAGAAGTTGCCTCCAGATGTTATGGGTGCTCCAACACTGGAAGTTTTCAAGAAGAGATTGGACAACCATTTATCTGAAATAATATAGGTCTCCTGTTTGAGCAGGGGTTTGGACCGGAAGACCTTCAAGGTCCCTCCCAACTCTTTTAAATAAAGAGTTATTTTTTTCACATCGAGGCTCTGAGGTTCAGTCTGACAGATATTTAATCTGAATGCTAAGGCTTGTCTTAATGCAGAACCTTCATTTGGATGGGCCAAAACCCCATGGCTTCATTAAGACACAGATACGCTTGCAGTGGTGTTTCCTTGCTTTGTAATTTCTTCTGGGGGTCATTCGCTTGAGATACATCCCACCTTGGAAGACACAAGTACATGTTTGCGAATTAAGCAATGTTGCAAATGCAGCCTTGGAAATAATAATAATAATTGTTTGGTTTTTTTAAAAAAAATATTTTCAATTAAATATAACCTGGGAGAGTGTAAACATTAATAGGATTCAATTTTGCTTTCTCCACTGCCAACCGAATCCCAAATGGTTAGCTCAGAATTTTGCTTATTTCCCTGTTGGATACTCAAGGGTTTTGCTGGATAACAGGATGCAGAAAAATATTTGGTTGATGGGGAGAGAGAGTGAGAAACAGAGAGAGGGAGAAGGGAGAAGGAGAGAGTGTGTGGGGGAGAGAAAGGAGAGAGAGAGGGAGAAAGGGAGAGGGGAGGGGAGGAGAAAGAGAGGGAGAGAGAATGAGAGGGTGAGAGAGATTAAGAGAGTGAGAGGAAGGGAGAAACAGAGAGACAAAGAATGGAATGAAAGGGAGAAAGGCAGAGAGGGGAGAGAAGGAGACGGAGAGAGGGAGGGAGGGAAGGGGAGGAAGAGAAAGCTTCTAGAGAGTTCTATATATACACTAAATCACAGCTGATAAACATTACACTTAAAATTTGGCAACCCAATTTCGTGGTTGGAATATCAATCTTCCTTGATGAATCTGGATCCAGAGATGCCTTTAAACAGCATCCTGAAATGTGGGGCCTAATTTAAGGCCCCGAAGTTTGGGACCTCTTAAATCTTGCCAACATTGCTAACTAATTATCAGTTTTAACGTGACAGGAGGGAGGAAATAGTTAAGAGGCTCCATTGGGGGTGGGCAACGAAGCCAAATCGCTGAGCTATGTTTTCCCCGCTTGAGCAAGGTGACACGTGTTCCCACAGCTTTGTTCTTCTTAATGGCAGTTTTTGGAATTTATTTTTTCATGAAAACAAAACAAAAAAAAGAAAGAAAAGAAAACAATGCCAAGGCTCTTGTCAACCTAATCTTGTGAAGCTTCTTCTCCGGTAACATTGTACTGCAAACTAGGGCATACAAAACCTTTGCTAGACCAATTCTCGAATACAGCTCATCTGCCTGGAATCCGCACTGTATATCGGACATGAATACAATTAAACGGGTCCAGAGGGATTTCACGAGAAGAGTCCTCCACTCCTCCGCTCACCACAGAATCCCTTATGCCACCAGGCTTGAAATTTTGAGCTTGGACAACCTAGAACTACGCCGCCTACGGTCTAACCTAAACGTAGTACACAAAATTATCTGCTACAACGTCCTACCTGTCAATGACTACTTCAGCTTCAACCACAACAATACACGAGCACACAATAGATACAAACTTAAAGTGAACCGCTCCAAATTTGATTGTAGAAAATACGACTTCAGCAGCAGAGTGGTCAATGCCTGGAATGCACTACCTGACTCTGTGGTTTCTTCCCCAAACCCCCAAAACTTTAACCTTAGACTGTCTGCTGTTGACCTCACCCCATTCCTAAGAGGTCTGTAAGGGGCGTGCATAAGTGCAACAACAGTTCCTTCCGTCCCTGTCCTAATGTCCCCATTTATTCATACCCATTTACTGTGTTTATATTTATGTTTACACTTATACCTGTTATTTTGTACATGTTTGACAGACTAAATAAATAAATAAAATAAATAATACCCTGTCATTTTCGTGAGTTTCCTGCTTCAAGAATCTGCAACCGGGACCATTTTGTCTTTCAGAGGACTTTTAAGACATCATTGGGTCAATGGGTGTGGAGATCTGGTCATGGTTTGGAACTTGTCACACGATTCTCCTGTTTGATCCATGTCTTACACTTGCCTGGTTTTATGTTTTCATTATTCCAATGTCTTATTCCATTCCATTCCATTCTATTCAGAAACCTTAGCAAAGGGCACCTGAAAAAGAAAAGAGGTCTTTGATCAAAAGAGCACTATTGTAACTAATCGAGAATATGAACCTGGATAAAATTAAACAGAATACCCAGACGCAAAAGCATGAGAAGAAACTATTAAAGCAGAATATGACCAAGCAGCCTAGGCAGTTATCTTAATTGTCTTTTTCCTGTGAATGTTATCCCTGTAACACGAATTCTGATTAAAGGCAGTGAGACGTTCAGAGCGCCTGGTATCTCCTGCCTGCAGTTTATCAGACGAACATATCAGTCCTTCGACGGAATTAATGAAGAGCGGGAGACGGACTCGCACAGTTTCATGCCATTCGGCAACCGTAACCAGCAACTAGCACTACCGTGATTCTCCGATGCCATTTCTCCAGGGTTTGTGAGCAGGGGTTCTACTTACCTTTACTACCGGTTCACAATGGGGCCGCCCGCGTGCGCGAGCGAACGCACTCTTCTGCGCATGTGCAGAAGCGTTCTGATGACGTCGAGGTCAGTGGGCGGAGCCTCCCGCTGGTTTTACTACTGGTTCTATAGAACCGGTGCAAACCGGGGGCAACCCACCACTGGTTGCGAGCAAGGGTTTTCACACCCCTTCCGGAAAATAAAATAAAATAATAATAATAATAATAATAATAATAATAATAATAATAATAAGAGATTTCATTTGAGACGTTTTGTTGGCTGGGCCTTCATAATAGCTCTGCGTCCAAAGATGCCTAAGTGCATTGGGAGGGATTAAAATTAAATGGATTAAAAAAAAATCAGAAGAACTCTTGTGCTTTTTCGGAGCGGTAAAGGACACGGTAGCGGTATGCAATTACAATGTTAGATGCCTGATATTGAGGAGTAGCATGGGAAACTTGTGGGGTTCTGTCTGAATGTTTCTGGCTGTTTTCAGCGGTGGGATCCTTCCGGTTAAACAAGCGGTTTGGTGATTGCGCTTGTGAAGTTGAACGAAAAATCACCTTCCATGTTAGTGCTAGGGAATTAAAACAGCTGAGACGTCGCAATCCACTCTGCCGTGCTAATCAGCTGCAAAGATAAAGGTAAGTAAAGCGAAGGGGTAGGTGGGCGGGCCCAGCTGATTGTCGGAGCTACAGGTTCGCCCGAACTGTTCCAAACCAGTAGAATTCTACCTCTGGCTGTTTTCCCATGTTGCACAGCTGAACACAATTTGCCACCTAGTCTTTTGCTGCCTTCCAATATGGAGAAGGTTGAAACACAAGAAAATGGTCACCCCTCTCTCTCTCTCTCCTTCCCCCCTCCCTCTCCCTCTCCCTCCCTCCCTCCTGTGGAACATAATGGCTGCCGTGGAAGGCACATATTGAACATCTGGAATGAGGAAGGTGTTTTCAGCTGCTTCCTTACCTTGCCAGCTTTCTGATAGGTAACTCGTGATCACTTCCAGAACCCTTCTGCAGAAAGTGGAGGAAGCTGGCTGGAAATAATCAGAATCACGCCGAGTGCCATAGATTGGACAACATTTCTTCTGCTTTATTTAGCACAGTGCTCAGTTGCCAGAGCTCAGGCTTCCCGAATATTTACAGCCTCATGCTGCTTCTTCTCACATCAGCCCCTTAAATGGTCGCCCATGCAGAGAGCTTCGACGCAGCCTTTTATTATTATTTTTTTTTTCCTGAGCAAAAGATTTGCTTCCTTCAGCCATCCATCCTTGCTCTAACTGGCCAGCTGAGGCTCTGTAGGCAAGAGAAAGCCATAAGAAAGATTTACATTTCCCTTAGGGCTTAAAAACAACACATTTGGCCATCCAACAAATGATTGTGTGCCTTTTTTGAACTTTGTGGAACTCCCACCATGCCTGCAGTCGGGCAGAAGTTAGAAATCCCTGCCTTGTTAAACTTTTCTTTTTTGCCATGCAGGCTGTAGGGCTCATCTGGTAGCTTCTGTGTTTTGTCTAAACTGGGCGATCCCTGGCCCCATCAGTTGGATTTCTCGTCTAGAAGCTGGGCTCCAAAGAAAGCATCGTGAAACTTGGGTGAATTCAGGACTGTTGGTGATGAAGAGGCCCTTGAGTGTAAGATACAGAATACAGAATAATAAGAGTTGGAAGAGATCTTTGGAGGTCTTCCGGTCCAGCCCCTGCTCAAGCAGGAGATCCCATGCCATTTCAGACAAATGGCTGTGTTAAGGAATTCACAGAGTAACCCTTGAGTAGCAAGGGTGTGCGCATGAAAGCGATTGAGAGTAGTTACGAATAAACACAGTCAACAGTCAACACACAGATACACTGTGTTGTGTTTACATTCAGGAAATAGTAAGGCACAGTCCAATAAACAGTCCAGGTCATACACATATAAAGCAGGAGATAGCCAAAATGACAGTCCAGGGTTAATCCAATAACAAAGTCTTCTTACCAGTCATCATAGTCAGTCACAATAAACAGTTCTTCTGGATTTGCAAACAGTAACATATAGAGATATCAGAGAACGCTTCCGCAGGCTGTCCAGTCTCTTTTTCAAAGCCTCCAATCCACAACTTCTGAAGGCAACTTCTGAAGGCCAGCACCCACAACTTCTGAAGGAAAGATGAACATGTCAACTGTTCTACTGAACCATGTATGTATGTATGTATGTATGTATGTATATATGTATGTATGTATGTATGTAAATAGGTAGGTAGGTAGGTAGATATGTATGTACATATGTATGTACGAACAAACAAACAAACGAATGAACAAATGAATGAAACAATGTATTGGTGGAATTGGAATGTGGATGGAATTTGGAAATGTTCCCATCTTTAGCAGAAGGTTAAAGCTTTATCTGGTATCAGGACTGTTGGTGATTGGTGATGAAGGGGCCATTGAGTGTAAGATACAGTATAGTAAGAGTTGGAAGGGATCTTGGAAGTCTTCTAGTCCAACCTCTCCTCGAGCAGAAGACCCCATACCATTTCAGCCAAGTGATTGTCCACTCTCTTCTTAAAAGCCTCCAGTGATGGAGCACCCACAACTTCTGAAGGCAAGATGAACATGTCAACAGTCCACTGAATCAAGTATGTATGTGTATGTATGTATGTATGTATGTGTTCTGCCCCAGCTACGGACCCCAAAGAATGCAGCACACACAAACTCTATACAAAGCTTATTTTACTCAAATAACTTAGTCTTTATCATTCAAAGGCTGTTAATGAACTGTCTTAACAGCCTACCACAATTCTGAGATAAGGTAATCACAGTCTTACTAGAGTTGGCAGAAAGCCCAGAAGCAATTTTGCAGACACGAAGGAGAGTGAACTAAAGTTGTTCTCTACAGCTTGTTGCAAGCAGCGTTCCTTCTTAAATAGGCTAAGGGAGTGGCAAATCAGCCCCAAGCCTTACTCTCGAGGAGACCTCCTCCTGAGGAGCCACTCCTGTCTTTTGACTGCTCTGCGCACCTGTGCATCGAGAAGAGGCTCCTCCTCTTTGTCCTCTTCACTTATGGAAGCTTCTGGAGATTCTGAAGGCCCTGGCTGAATCCCCACCTCTGGCGCCACATCTTCTCCAGCCTCTTCACTGTCCGACTCGAGCGCCAGCTGCACAGGCTGCTGGCGCATCACCACACCAGCCTCCTCGCTGTCGGAATCAGCTACTAGCTGCACAGGCCGCTGATGGACCACAACAGTATGTGTGTGTATGTATGTAAGTATGTATGTATGTATGTATGTATGTATGTATGTATGAATGAATGAATGAATGAATTCATGAATAAAACAATGTATTGGTGGAATCAGCTCAGGCCCATTGCTAATTTGGATGGAAATTGGGAATGTTCCAATTTTTAGCAGAAGTTTACAGTTGCATCAGATATTAGACAGATGCAAAAATGTGGTTAAAGATAAAGATAAAGGTTCCCCTTGCACATATGTCCTATTTGTTCCTGACTCTAGGGGGCGGTGCTCATCTCCATTTCAAAGCCAAAGAGCCAGCGCTGTCCGAAGACGTCTCCGTGGTCATGTGGCCGGCATGACTCAATGCCAAAGGCGCACGGAACACTGTTACCTTCCCACCAAAGGTGGTCCCTGTTTTTCTACTTGCATTTTTTAACGTGCTTTTGAACTGCTAGGTTGGCAGAAGCTGGGACAAGGAACGGGAGCTCACCCCGTTACGCGGCACTAGGGATTCGAACCGGTGAACTGCCGACCTTTCGATCAACAAGCTCAGCGTCTTAGCCACTGAACCACCGCATCCCAAGATGTGGTTAGATCCTCGTAATAGACCTGGCTTTGAGAAGCAGAAAGCTTTTATAATAGCTAAATTAAGATGGTAGATGTGTCGCCATTAGCTCACAATGGCCAGATTAACTGGCTTGTTCTGCAGTCCAAAAATGGAGTCGAGAGGTTTTTCAAACTTTTTATAGAATGGTTGGGGATCAACTTGGCAAAGGTTCTGCTAATTACCATTCTCCATTTAAAAAAAAAAAAAGACTTTGTGGCACTATTTCTTTGTATTAGAATGACACCCGATGTATTCTCGAGGATTTTTTTTTTTTTTTGAAAGAATAAGAATATAAAAATATTTTCCTTCCTTTTCAACATCCCACTAATGGAATGTTGGATTTGCTTGGAAACTCCCTGATACAATCACCACTTAGTCCTCCTGTAAAATCATCTGAAATTGTAATCATCGGTAAGAGTTCTTATGACAGTCAATCTAACGCTTTAGAAAACGTAGATCATGCCCAATCTAAAGAGAAAATTCACTTCTCTGATTCAGCCTGCCTTGAAACCGAACATCTGCTTCCAAAGGTGCTTTTTTTTCAAGAGCTTTCTGTTTTTTTTCTTTGAAGACGTTTCACTTCTCATTCAAGAAGCTTCCTCAGCTTCTCTCAGAAGCTTCTGCTCTCAGAGCTGAAGAAGCTTCTTGGATGCGAAGCGAAACGTCTTCAAAGAAAAAACAGAAAGTCCAGTTGCCTCTTGAAAAAGCACCTTTGTGGATAATTACAAAAAAAGAAGAAATATATCTTATGGTACACATACTAACAGCAGTGAGGTTGATATTTGCACAAAATTGGAAATGCAGAGAGAACCCACAGGAGGTAGAAATAATTAACAAAATATTGTGCAGAAATGGACAGGTTAACAATGAAGCTCAAAGATAAAGATGAATCGGAATCCTGTGTAACCTGGAATACATTTTATAAATGGCTAGAGAAAAGGAGGAATGTAGGGATAGAGAATTAGAAACAAGAGTGAAGGAAAAGGGAGAAAAATAAATAAAATAAAATTAAGAAATATCAGATGGGAATAAATTGGATTTGAATAGGTACAAAGGGAATATGTATGTGTGATTGAATGTACAAAAAGTATATATGGAATATGCATGATATTATATTGTAATATACACGAAAGAAAAAGTGCTAGAAAAGTACGTACCGGACAAGTCGCACCATCTAATGTTTTTAAATTGTATATTTAATAAACTTAATTTTAAAAAAAGAAAAAGAAAAAGCACCTTTTGAGACAACTGTGATCTGGATGAGTGAGAATCTCCAAAGACAAACATGTTCTTCATTGCCAGATCAGATGCTAGACCAAAGGTGGGGCAGAATACAAACCCTAAATCAAAATATATTCTTGCTATTATTATGTTATGATAAGGATAACAATCACGGTACCACCTAAGCTTCAAAACTCATCATCAATGTTCCAGGCTTTCTGCTGACGGCAGATCAACACCATCAACATCAGATTTTTTGACACATTCTCTCTCTCTCTCTCTCTCTCTCTCTCTCCCTCCCTTCCTCCCTCCCTCCCTCCCTCCCCCCCTCTCTCAACATTCAGAAGGACAAGCATCTGTTGGCCATCAAAATGGAGAAGAACATCTCCCAGCTCTAAGAAGTGATCTATTTTTGAGGGTAGACCTGACTGCTCTTCTCTGCCCTTGGAAGCTGAGCACAGCTGGGCTGGGCAAGGGTTTGGAAGGTGTAGGAGATTTTAGGTCTGGAAACCAGTGTGGGAAGTTGAGAACATCCCAGAAAAAAGAGGCAAGAGAACATGGATTTCTCCTGATACAACTCAAATCTTTGTTCAGTTGGGGGAAAAAAAAATACTTTCTCTTTTCCTGAACTCTGGAAAGGTACCAACACCAGTGTGATTTCCTTCCAAAGTTTGCAAACTTTCCCAGAGAAGCAAAACTATCTGGATTAAGAAGATTTGGGGTTACTCCTGGGATCTTCCTGCTGTTGTGTTTTTCACCAAAGGGCACTTGCAAATTTGCACCAAAGTGCAAATGATTTACTGGCAGCATGCATTGAAACCAATTAATTATTTTTTTAATTATCTATCTATCTATCTATCTATCTATCTATCTATCTATCTATCTATCTATCTATCTATCTATCTATCATCACCCTCTCCCTCCCTATTATCTATCTATCCATCCATCCATCCATCCATCCATCCATCCATCCATCCATCCATCATCTATCTATGTATCTATCTATGTATCTATCTATCATCTATCTAGTATCTCTCTCTCTCTATCTCTCTATCTATCTAGTATCTATCTATCTATCTATCTATCTATCTATCTATCTATCTATCTATCTATCTATTTCATCTAATATTTCTCTCTCTCTCACACACACACACACTCACACACAAACATTTGCCAGAATAAAGAGTTTTTTGGAACACCGAATCTTAAAGAAACATCGTCTTCCTTTTGAAAAGGATATTCTCAATTTCTCCCTTGCCTGGATCAAATGTATATTTACAGTACCTATTGGATCCTTCCATTACCTGCACTTGTTTATGGTGCTTCCTTGGGGAAAAACTCTGTCCCATTACTTGGGGGGTGGGGTGGGGGAGAGAGATCCCTTGCCTTTTTAAAAACCCTTATGCCAAGGAGAGCTAATGGGGGGAAATGAGAATAAAAGAGCTTCTTAATGAGCTACTTGTAGTTTGCATTAAAGAAGAAGAAAAAAATAGGAAGCACCATTAGAGAGGGATTATCAAAACCCATTTTTGGAACCTCAGGGCAGCTGTTAACCGGATGGTAGGCGCAGAGGGGGAAAAAAAACTTACCTTGAGTGGAGAGACCCTTCCTTCTTTAAAAAAGGAAAGGAGAGAAGGTTTGACCAAGGAAACTTGAAAGAAAAGGAAAGGAAAACAAAACGAAAGAAAAGAATAAATTGTCCATTGATCTTCCTGCTTGGGGGATGCTGCAACGGGGGTTAATTTTTTGGAGGGTGGTGGAGGGAGGAGGGAAGGGGGAGGTTTCTGTTTGCCTTCTCCGCCTCTCACTCTCCCCTTAATTCCACTTCTCCCCCCTTTTCTTCCCCTGCCAGGCAGATGCCACCATGCAAGGACCAAGAAGATTCACAATCCGAAAATATGAACCCTGGGAAAAGACCGGGATTAGTAATTTAGGTCAGTTGCTCTTTTCCCATCAGGAATAGCTCTGCATTTGAATCCTTTTTTCCTTTCCTTTCCTTTCCTTTCCTTTCCTTTCCTTTCCTTTCCTTTCCTTTCCTTTCCTTTCCTTTCCTTTCCTTTCCTTTCCTTCCTTTCTTTCCTTTCCTTTCCTTTTCCCTTTCCTTTCCTTATTTCTTTTTCTTTTTTCCTTTTTCCTCCCCTCCCCTATTTCCTTTCCTTCTTTCTTTTCTCTTTTTCTCCTTCCCTTCCCTTCTCTATTTCCTTTCCCCTTTCTCCTTTTTTTCCCCTTTCCGTTCCTCTTCTATTTCCTCTTCTCTCTTTTTTTTTTCCTTTTTCCTTCCCTCCCCTTCCGTTTCTTCACATCCCTTCTCCTTGCTGCCCTGACCATCTCCAAATCGACCTGCCAGGCTCCCCACAAGGTGGCTAGGCTTAATCCAGCTGCTGGGGGGACTTTTTGACGGCGCCACCCCTCTTCCCGCTTCTGCTTGCTTTAATCTGCTATTTCGCCAGAAACTCCGAACACCAGAACCGGCGAGGCTACAGCGGACGCCCGCATCGGGGGCTGGGACTGCTGCGCGGAAGGGAAAGAGCTCAACGGGAGACGCGGGGACGCGTGTCGGGTGTTTCCAAGCCTCTCCAAACAACCCCACCGACTCTTTTGTGCGCGCCCGGAGGAATTAAGAACTGCGTTTTCGGGCTGGGGGTGTGTGGGGTGCGTGGGAGAGACCCAGCATGAAAAAGGAAAGGAAAGCTGCAAGTTTGAGCGGAGGGAAGCTTCTGCCACGGCGCCTTGCGGGGGCGCAAAGCAGGCGCGCGAGCCGGAGCATCTCTCCGCCCGCTTCGGCCGTGTGAACCTGGAGCCAAGCGCTGCTGGAGCATCCCTCGCGGGGACGCGCTGCCGGCCGGGCGCGCGCGTGCCAGAGCGCGGGAGGTGGTGGTGTTGGTGGTAGCGGAGGAGGAGGAGGAGGAGGAGGAGGAGAAGGAGGAGGAGCGCATGCGTGTCGCCCGGGGCCACTGCGCGGGTCGTGTGAACGCGCGGTCTTCCTTGCCTGCGCGGGCCGGGGAACTGGTAAGTAGCTTAGCCAGGCGCCGTCACCCACTCCCCCCCGGTTCTTTCTCTCTCTCTCTCTCTCTC